TTCAGCTTTTACTGAAATTCATGAATTGTCAAGATAAATAGAATTAATATGGTTAAAAAGGATTAAAAATTGATCTTGATCTAAAAAGCTGCATTGGTCACAAATGTTTATGCGCATTAATTACTAATTATGGGAACTGCGGGTATGTTAAGTGTCTACCGAAGCAGATCTCATTAGTTTCTCAGTAATCTTACACGAGAATCTGAAGTCTGCAACCAGATCTGGATATAAACTGGCTGAAACTCCAATGAAACCAAGAGCAATAGCATTTTCTCCACAACTTTATCCAGGAGAAGGTTCTTACCTGTAATCTGCAGTTCCCAAGGAAAAATAAAGCAGGAATGACAAAGCGCTGATCCACGGCAAATGTTTCATGTTTAAGAGCAAAGCCTCTTTATTTCTCTGCTGTTCTTTTCACTTCTGTTTGCTTTTCCTGCTAGTTTGATTCCAGTCTAAGATTAAAGTCTGCAGTCTCTCTCTCTCTCTCTCTCTCTCTCTCTCTCTCGTCTTGTTGAAATTCCAGATGTCATGGAGTTGAGTGACGGAAGGGCTGGAAGTGTTTTGGGTTAGTGGGGGAGTTTGAGACGTCTTCTCTCTGAAACTCAATCCATGACGTCTAGATTGACGGTGTCGCGTCAAACAACTCACTTCACGCTTCAGGAGAGAGAAAACCTGCTTTGAGGAAAATTCAGAATGAAAAATAAATGTGAATTTGAATATGCACACTTTAAAGTAATTCAACAGTCAAAACAACACAGGATTATTTCATTAGTAAATTCAGAAGTTATGACAAACTGATTCATTTTAGTAATCATGCCTATTTAAAAATATAGACAATTGTACATTCTTCAGCATATAAATGTAACTGAAATATATATATATATATATATGAAGAGTTCAGATGCAAAAGCCTCTAAGTGCCATTTGAAATTTTCTTCTAGAATGATCATTTTTATCAAGCTCTGTATATTTAAAGTTCAGTGATTTCACTTAAATGGCAATGATAATTACCTATTAATTGTTATTTAAGTGAAATTACTGAACTTAAATATACAAGTTTGATAAAAATCATCATTAAAGAAGAAATTTCAAATGGCATTTAGAGGCTTTTGCATCTGAACTCTTCATATATAATACATAGTGATGTGAATAAGTTTGGACACTCATGCTAAAGTTGCCTAAAAAGAGGAATAAAAAATCATCTTTTGGAAATTGATCTTAATGCCTTAATTAAAACAATTAGGAAAAATCAAACCTTCATGGATTTCATGGATCCAGGATAATATGCATCCCTTGACCTTTGGGATTAAAATAGACCCACATCATCACACACCTTCACCACACCGAGAGATTGGCATGGTTTTACTTCAGTTAGCCTAATAGCTGGTTTGATTTGCATTGAAAGATGATCTTATGGAAAGTACCCCATGCCAATCTCTAAGTGTGGTGGAAGGTGTGTGATGATGTGGGGATATTTTAATCCCAAAGGCCAATCAGGATGCATATTATCCTGGATCCATGAAATAACTGGCTTTTAAAAATAAAAATCTGCCTGACTCTATGGGAATTTAACATAGGGGTGTCCTGACTTGTGCACCCTGTATTTTAAGGAAAAACATTTATTTATTTATGATACATTATTCATTCACAAAGAAAATTGGTGTCCTTAAAGGTTGGAGTTTTCCTCATTTTTCTAATTAAGGCATTTAGATCAATATCCAAAAGATGATTTTTTATTCCTCTTTTTAGGCAACTTTAGCACGGGAGCCAAAACTTATTCACATCACTGTATATCTACAGTATATACAAATATAGTCTCAGGTGTTTACATACAAGTAGCACATGACGAAGGAGACGATGGAGGTGGAGCAGGGGATTCTTCATGTAGTGGGTGAAGCTGATGACCTGAAGCTCTTACACTGTAAAAAATGATTTTTTTTGGTGAAGTAAATACTTGTGAAAAAAAAAACAATGTAATTTACATGAAAAAGTTAGTTCAGTCAAGAATTAAAAAAAAAACAAATTAAATTCCATATCAGCAAGTAAAAATGAAAATGCAAGTATCAACTCAATAAAATTAAGTAAAATGACTGATATTGGGGTTCCCATCATGCACTGGACCTTGAATAATTAATGAGGTTCATTTTTCCAGCTGTATTTACACTGTTTTATCATTTATTTTTGTTGTCAGTATTAGTAACTTGCCATTTTGTGACATTTCGAGTAAATGTTTTGCTCCAAATGACACATTCAAAGACCCATCAAATGTTACCGCCAGTGTGTATTGTCTACCAAGTATTGAGGTCTTTGTATTCATGATGCTTAACATCTGACATGATGTAATTAGCGGATTTAAGTAAAGCACATACTATAAATGACTAATAAATTTCAATATTATTGTTTTAGTGAAATGTAATGCAAAGGCAAAGAAAATCCATATTAATCAACCTTTTACTAGCCGAGTTAAAATTAATTATTTTTTGTAAAGTTTACTTAACTCCATATTCCACGTAAATTTAACTTAAAGATTTCTAATTAAAGCTACTGATAAATATGTTTAGGTTTTTACTTGGCAAATCTTTTGAGTGAAAAAAGTAAATCCTACTTTTTAAAACGGAGCAAAAATATGCCAAATAGTGCAGATGCCGACAAACATTTGTACATTTCTGATGCTTGTAATGTAAATCAATGAGATCTTTATAACAATATAGCCTGCATAAAATTCATATAAATATATAAATAGAATCTTTATAAGTACAAACTTTAAACCTAGCGACCTCACAAGAACTGCAAACCCGTAGTATTTCATAAATGCAAAAAGCATTTTTAAGCAAATTTTTCAATTTCATAAGCTTGAGAAAAAAGGTACTGTAGGTTTTAATTGACGCTTTAAAAACATTTAAAGTAAGAAAAGCTCTGATGGATAAAGGTAGTTCCAATGTTTTGTAGACTGAACATGATCAAAACATGATTTCAAACATGATTTCGGGATATTTAATAATAGGAGAGATGATGATCTCAGAGGAGAATAAGAACTTAAAAGTTCTGATATATAAACAGGAGCAATTCTGTCAAGAGCTTTAAACCCGTACCCGTTGCATAATTAAAGACCTTTTACTTGATAAAACAGTGTAAACTATTAAGTGCAAACAAAGCTTTGATCATTTAGAGGCATATTGCGCATCAAATATGATCCAGTGCACTGTAAAAAATTTGGAGTAGGATTTACTTGAAAAAACTTGCAAAACTTTCTCACTCAGAAAATGCTAGTAAATTAACAAAGATTTGCCAAGTAAAAACCTAAACATATTTATCAGTAGCTTTAATTAGAAATCTTTAAGTTACATTTACTTGGAATATGGAATTAAGTAAACTTTACAAAAAATAATTTTAACTCAGCTTGTAAAAGGTTGATTAATATCGATTTCCTTTGCCTTTGTATTACATTTCACTAAAACAATAATCTTAAATTTTATCAGTCGTTTATGTGCTTTACTTAGATTATTTAAGTAATTCATATATACATAATGTCAGACATTAAGTCTCATGTGAACGCAAACACCTCAATACTTGGTAGACAATACAATACACAATGGCGGTAACATTTGATGGATCGTTTTTGTGTTTGAATGTGTCTTTTTGTGCAAAACATTTACTCGAAATGTCACAAAATGGCAATTTACTAATACTGAAAACAAAAACCAATGATAAAACAGTGTAAATACAGCTGGAAACCAGTGAAAAATGAGCCTCAAGGTCCAGTGCATGATGGGAACCCCAGTATCAGAAAAGTTGAGTAATTTTTACTTAATTTTATTGAGTTGATATTTACACTTTCATTTATACTGGCTTGAATTAAGTACTGATATGGAATTTACTTAGTTTTTTTAAATTCTTGTCTGAACTAACTTTTTCAAGTAAATTACATTGGGTTTTTTCACTAGTATTTACTTCACCAAAAAATCATTTTTTACAGTGTGGGATTTACTGCATCTGGATGAATCTGATCATATGTTGAAGCTGTGTCTGTGAGGTTCTCTGGAGGAACTGTGTTTGGGCTTGTCACGAGCACCTGGAACGCTCTTTGAAGTGCTTCGCATAATTATTACGTCTCAAGCCTGCCAAAGAAGTTCAAGAGAAGAGAATATCCATCATTAGATCCGTTTTATGGTTTCTGCATCTCCGTGTGAAAGCTAACATCTGGTCAGGCCTGACAATGCAAGAAACACTTTACACACACAGTTGTGTGTTCTCGTGTCGCTGTGACAGAAAACATCCTCAGTCCTCAAGAGGGCGATAGAGTTTGCTTGTTGAGTTGGACTTGAAGAGTTCAGATGCAAAAGCCTCTAAATGCCATTTGAAATTTTCTTCTTTAATGATTTTTATCAAACTTATATATTTAAGTTCAGTAATTTCACTTAAATAAAAAATTAATAGGTAATTATCATTGCAATTTAAGTGAAATTACTGAACTTAAATATACAAGTTTGATAAAAATCATCATTAAAGAAGAAAATTTCAAATGGCATTTAGAGGCTTTTGCATCTGAACTCTTCACTTGTTGTTTTAGCGATCTTATAAGATTTTGTGAGACATTTTTCAAGAAGTATATGCATATGTTCTTATGTTGAATGTAAGACACCTTTCATACACTATACCGTTCAAAGCAATCAGCAATATTTTTTTTTTTTTTAAATAATACTTATATTGAGCAAGATGCATGAAAATTGGTCAGTAAATACATTTATAATGTTACAAAAGTTTCTCTTTCAAATAAATGCTGTTCTTTTGAACTTTCTATTCATCAAAGAATCCTGACAAATAAAAATGTATGACGGTTTCCACAAAAAATAATCATAAATGTGTGTTGATCATCAGATCCTCATTTGTGAAGGATCATGTGACACTGAAGACTGGAGTAATGATGCTGAAAATCACAGGAATAAATTACACTTTACTGTATATTCACATGATTTACTGCATTTTTGATCATAGAAATGAAGTCTTTCAGCTTTTTTGTTCAAAACGTTGCTTTTTTATGAAACTTCCCAAATTCAAGCAGATGCTCTGTTCTTTCTTTGGATATTTTGCATCATCTCAGTTTTGTGGAAATGATCTAAACTGCTGAAGGCACAGGTGTGTGTTAAACAGCCGCTCGTCAGCTGGATCTGGAAGATGTCCTCAAACGTCCCGCAGTCCTGAGTTGTGTGTGTGTGTGTGTGTGTGTCGGACGGATGTTTCTCGGCTCCTCGGGGCAAAAACAGATCGTCTGACAGGAGATTATTCACGTCAGGACCAAACAAGCTTGAGTTCGCCCTAAAGCCTGTTATTAGACGGCAGAAATACGGCATTACCCGAGACAAACATTCCTTCATAGTTCAGGATAATAGTCATCGTCTCTGCCGGCAGAGATTACACAACTGCTGCCTTCACATTCACTCTGATTTTATACTGGTATCATACTCATTTATAATTCAACAAAAATAAGAAGTATAGTGGTAATCTTATCCTAAAAATAATCCTTAAAAAATATAAAAGACTATGAATATTGTTGTTTCTTCTATTTGTGGCTTTGGATAAAAGCATCTGCTAAATGCATGCAAATGCAAATGAATTACTATGATCATCTAACCAGAATCCTAATAGAGAATAATTAAAATTAGCAAAAGGAAAAAATCTAACTGTAAAAAAAACAACATTTAAATGCATTACAGTAATGTGAATTCGAGGGGTTAAAAGTGCTTCATCATCATTACGATAATGTCACAAAGCCAAAACCATTAATAGTCTTTTTTTTCTTCTTCATGTGCAAAATATAATTTGTAATTATATTTTTAGTCTTTATTTTCTTAATTATTTAGTCAGGGTTCTTATTGTTTAATAAAACCACACATTTTTTTTTACTTAAAATGAATAATTGTTTATGAAATAAAATTCTCATTTCCATTCAGTTTAACTTGATGTATATAAAATATGAATATTCATATTCATATTAAATGACTTAGACTTTAACTAAAATGACAATGGATCTCAGTGATAGTCAAAAAACTGTCAAATGATTAATCATGATTAATCACATCCAAAATAAAAGTTTGTGTTTACATAATATATGTGGGTGCACTGTGTATAATTATTTTATATATATAAATACACACACATGCTTGAAATATTTTCATGTATATACTGTATATAGATTTATATATAATTTATATTATATACAAATATAAATATTTCATATATAAATAATATTTTTTTTTCTTAAATATACATGTATATGTGTGTGTATTTATATATATATACAAAATAATTATACACAGTTTACCCACATATATTATGTAAAAAAAAAATTCATTTTGGATGTGATTAATCGTGATTAATCATTTGACAGCCCTAGTATTTGTATTTATTAGACGGATCAGTGACGTGAAGGCAGGGCGATGCTGACCTCAGTAACTCACCAGGTCAAAGGTCACCCTCACAGGGAACAGACGCTTGACCTTTGACCTGCAGCATGAGGACTCACCCTGTGCAAGGAGACCAGTGAGGATGCAGTAGATCCAGTTTTTTACACTTTGATTCTTCAGGTTAAAGGTTTGGAATATTAAATAAACATAACGAGAGGAAGATCATGACATGCTGCTCTTCCTCAGTGTTTCTGTCTCGTTTCCCAGCAATAATCCAAACATTACATTTACTGGTGAAGGAAAATGACTAGATGAAAAAAAAAAATGATCAAAATGAAGCTTTAAACAAGAACAAACATCTTCTAATAAAGTCGGGGAAAAAATCTTGTCTTTCCTTTAAATAAAGATTATTTGTCTGACTTTATATGCAGATATTTGTTCATGTTTTAAGGACAAACTCACTTCATTTTGACACATTTTTCATTAAACAAGTCTTAAAAGGATTAGTTCACCTCAAAATGAAAATTTCCTGATACTGTACTCACCCCATGTCTTTCTATCTTTCTTCAGTGGAAAAGACATTATCCACATTTGAGGATTTTTCCACACAATTTTGAACTTCAATTGCAACCAACATGTTGTAGTCCAAATCGATGCAGTTTCGCACGGCTCTGAAGAGCTTCAGCTTCAGCTCCACGACCCCAGCTGAGGAACAGGGGCTTATCTAGCGAAACCATCGGACATTTAAAAAATAAAATATACATTTATATACTTTTTAACCACAATCGTTCGTCTTGTGCTGGTCAGCGACGCGTCAGAGATTACGTCATCACGCGGCGTCATCTAAGTTTGTTTACTCTCCGGTAGACTGGGAAGGGCGAACAATTCCTTCTAAATTTCTCCCGTTTTCTCCTCCAACTTCAAAATCGTCTGACATATTTGTTTTAATATATTATTATTATTATTATTATTATTATTATTATTATTATTATTATTATAAAAAAAAAATCGTGGAGTTTCCAGCGTGATGACGTAATCCCTGGCGCATCACCGACCAGCACAAGACCAACAGAGTAGTGGTTAAAATGTAGTATAAATGTTTATTTTATTTTTTAAACGCCCAATGGTTTCGCTAGATGAGACCCTGTTTGATTTGGACTTCAACATGTTGGTTGCAATTGAAGTCCATTGTGTGGAGAAAAATATTTTCCTCAGAAATAATTTCTTTTCCACTGAGGAAAGAAAGACATGAACATCTTGGATGGCGTTGGGGTGAATAAATCATCAGGGAATTTTCATTGTGAGGCGAACTAATTCTTCTCCTGTACTGGGATTGTAGACCGGCTCGTGTCTCTCCACAAGGGGTCGCAGTGACACAGGGGTGTTTTCAGTTCATGTCTCTGAATGTCGATCATGTTTTTAATGTTTAGCTAATTCCTCATCTCTGCACAATTCATCTAAAACCCCGAGACAGACCGAACAGAGCCTCAGGTGAACAGATGAGAAGCTCAACTCTCGGCTGTCACTGTCTCTGCCAGTGGAATTTTACAGGAGACCCCAGTGTGCGCGTGCGTGTGCGCGTGCGCGTGCGTGTGTGTGTGTGTGTTTCCTTAGGCCACTACTAGAGGACTCCGTGTGTGTGTGTGTGTGTGTGTGCTTCTTCAGGCCACTAGAGGACTCAGTGTGTGTCACACAAGCATGTTCGCTATGAGGAAGAAGCCGTGAGGAAGAGGAGCACGAGCTTCATCTGGGTTGCCAAGTCCACTGATTATAAGCAGATCCGGGCCTGTTTTTAGGCCTGTCACTTTAGCTTATCAACACAACAATACGCATATTTTTTGGGCTTGTTAGTGGTTGACATACTATGAAAAATATCTGCCAGTGGAGTAAGAACAAATCGGCTGCACTTTACAATAAGATTCATTAGTTAATCTATTAACTAATGAGCAATAAATGTGTTATAGTATTTCTAATTTTTGTTAATGTTAGTTAATAATATTACCGCTGTTCATTGTTTGCTCACGTGCATTAACTAATGTTAACAACACAAACTTTGATTTAATAACGTATTAGTAAATGTTGAAATGGATATTAACTAAGATTAATAAGTGCGGTAGAAGTATTGCTCAATCTTAGTTCATGTTAACTAATGAACTTTCTTTCTAACTCAAATCTTTCTGTAACTTTTCTTCACTCTCAGAAAAAATGTACAAAAGCTGTCACTGGGGCTGTACCTTTTCAAAAGGTAAACTTTTTCCATTTTAGGTGCAAATATGTACATTTTAGGTGCTATTATTTACATTTTAGGTGCTGATATGTTCATTTTAGGTGCTAATGTGTACATTTTAGGTGCTATTATTTACATTTTAGATGCTGATATGTACATTTAGGTGCTAATATGTACAGTTTAGATGCTGATATGTACATTTAGGTGTTAATATGTACATTTTAGGTGCTATTATTTACATTTTAGGTGCTGATATGTACATTTAGGTGCTAATATGTACATTTTAGGTGCTATTATTTACATTTTAGGTGCTGATATGTACATTTTAGGTGCTATTATTTACATTTTAGGTGCTGATATGTACATTTAGGTGCTAATATGTACATTTTAGGTGCTATTATTTACATTTTAGGTGCTGATGTGTACATTTTAGGTGCTATTATTTACATTTTAGATGCTGATATGTACATTTAGGTGTTAATATGTACATTTTAGGTGCTATTATTTACATTTAGGTGCTAAAATGTACCATTAAGGTACCAATATGCACCCTTTAGGTACAAGTGTACCTTTTGAAAAGGTACAGCCCCAGTGACAGCTTTTGGACCTTTTTTCCTGAGAGTGTTCAGTGTGTTTTGGCATTTGATTGGCCGTCTTTATGCCTTTGATGCAACAATGGGAAGTATGAAGACTTTTCTGAATCAAACGGACTAGAAACTACAAAAGCGATCAATGCTTCTGGCAGAACAACACAGAAACTGGAACACAGACCCTTTCACACGGCTTTGCTTATTTTGGGCTTGTTTTTTTCAGACTGTTTGCTTATTTCTCTAGCCAAACTTGGCAACACTGGTTTAAAGTCAAACTAGGAAGGAATGTGTGGACATTGATTAACCGTTGTGTGTTTGAGGAAGCAGAAGTCACTATAGAGGAGATGTAGATGAGCATTAATGAGCCTCTGGAGAGTCAGTACAGATGAAGCCTGTCCTCAGAGCTGTATTAATGTGAGGCACTCGGGCATCTCTGATGATTACTAGCATTGTTTTTTTTAGCACACAATTCTCTAATGACACACCTAATAAATTAATGATAAAAACACTCTGCCCTCTTACAGTGTCTGGATGTGGATGACATTAGTTTACGATTGCATTACAGCTTCTGGAACAATTAAAAAAGATATTTTACTGTAAAAATACTGAAATATTACTTAATAATAATTCTCTATGTGAATATACAGTAAAGTGTAATTTATCCCCAGTCTTGTTTTAGCGAATAACTTTTTAAATGAGGTTTATTGCAGTGCGATCGATGTCACATGCCAGTGGTTGCAGTGAGTTTAATGGAGCGCTAACAGACTTGCATCTCAATA